AACGTTCTGCGATTTCTGTTTCCGGTGCGTTCCGCACACGGGTCTGGGTAACGTTGTTGTTTTCATTACGCGACCAGATGTTATTGCGATTAGTCTCGCGACAAAATACAATTGGTCCGATTTGCGCGGCCGGAAAGCGCGCGATAAAACGGTAACAGTTTTCGATTTTAGTCGAACAGTTTCGCGTGCTATTTTATTAATCGTTTTTTAATACGATAATGAGGCCGGGTCGCTCATCCGTCTAACGGTTCAAAGGTTCGTGTTTTTATTTTCAACCGACTATACGGGTCCCGTTTTGGAATACATGTGAAATATTGTTTGTTGTGTCGCTGAAAGTAAATTTCCGTATGCGGCGCGCTGATTTTCCGCCGTTAATTTAAAAAAACGTCAATTTGTACGACTACCCATCTCATTTGTTCGCGTTCATCGAACCGATAGTTACAATATATGATTCGGACGAATGTACCGAATTGATTACATTGCATTACGAGATATTATATTCGCGTTATCGGTTGTTTATTAGATATGTTATATATTATCGTTGTAACCGTGTACGTCAAATGACAGATTATTCGCGTTCCAGTTGTACATTGTTATTTCAAGATCGATTTACGTGCAACGCCGAATAAAAACCAATACCTCTTCGCCTGGTTTATAAAAAAAAAAAAAAAACCCCCTTCATTTAACGAACCGTAGGTTTGACATATTGAATTCGCCCATGTCGAAAAATTTATGGTCGAAATCGAGTAAACGCCAAAACCCTTATACGAAAAGAACAGAAAAGCGCGACAACGGATTTTCAATGGTTTTATATAATAATCATAAGATCAGCTTACGAGGATTACTTCGTATTTTCACACCTGTAAACATTGTCAAATATTTCAAATCCACTCAAGGACAAAAACATGACTCGATAATTTCGAATAACTATTAAAAAAAAAAACAAAATTTTTCACTGTTTTGAAAACCTTACGACGATATTAATATAATAAACCCTAATACGAGAACGTCTGAAATTATTTCTATAGATTCGACAAATAAAAAATTAATAATAATAAAATACGAATTCGATAAATGAACAGAAATTAAATCGTTTTCGTTTTTCCGAAGTTTTTTCCGGGTATCCCTCATTGGCTTTTGCTATGTTGATAAAGTGTCAAGAATAATCAAAATATTTTTTCTGCTCAATATACGACCAGGTCACGAGTTTTTTGTCGAAGACCAACACCCTTGAATAATTTAACGGAAGCAATCAGAAAAAAAAAACACATAGCTTTCCTGGCCCTTTTTAGAAATTGTCTTGTTTAGTCATAATAATATTTTATTAAAATAATAATTATAATAATACTAATAATAATAATAAACGGCTGGTTCTGCTGACGAATGACGGGTGTGTGCCGCTGCTGTTGTTGGAAATTTGGACGTATAGAAGGATACAATAGAAACTTATTTAATTTATAAATCTGCGCAGTCATAAACTTTCCGAGGCAAGTTTTATACATGTTTTGAAATGTCGTAATTATTACGATTTCCGTCAAAATTTGATGTTAAAGTCCTTAGAAAAAAACCGAACTTGTTTTTAGACCACGAAGTACAATTCGTAGTGAACCCGGCGATCAATTTTCAAACATTTGTTTTCGGTCAAATCGTCGTATCCGCATGTACTATATAGTACCTATTAAATAACAACTAAAAAAAAAAAACAACAAAAAAAAAACGAAAACGTGAAATGCCTCTTAATAGTACGAACATGTTTAGACAATTCGACCACGTCCAAAAAAGGCGAATGTAAGTGTTTTGTGAAAATCGCCTGTGTTGCCCAGTTGCTCTCGGTGACTATTTTCGGCATTGAAAAAAAATACCAGTTGCGCTCAATATATAAAATACAGTACCACGGAATGCAAAAAGGCGAAATTTTAACCCGTGTATTGTTTAAAATGCGATTAACTTCACTCACCGTCTCGATTGCGAACTATATAAATTCCGATTAATTTTGCGAAACCACGTCGGGCAGACAACGGGGAAAAAACGAAATTTCCGTCAGCCAAACATACGTTGTCGCGTAAAAAGTCTTTTCGATAATTTTCAACAGTCGATTGGTATAATTTCGATTTTGCGGTGTTAAAGTCTATGAAAATGGATTCGCTTAACTTTCGATCTTTTATTATTGTACCCAATACTGAAGTAGACGTTTTTTTTTTTTTTTTTGTTGGAGATCCGGTTTCAATTAAGTCTTTATCGAAAAAACGAGTTGGATTGTCCAACTACTTTCGGTCGGTGCGTTTATTTTCTCGAGTTCGACTTTCGCCACGTATTCTTGTTTATTGTTCAAATTTTTTTTTGATTAACTACAATGCGTATCACTTATCATTGAACTTTTTGTATATTTTATCGTATATTGTTTTTTTTTTTTTCACACTATTCAGTGCTAATATATATTATAGGCGCGTCCATTACGTCTCGCCGACAGATTTTTACCATCCCTGCTACGCCACCAGGTGTTGTATTGCGGTCATTTACATCATCATGTGTTTGGGGCGTCTGATAAATTTTACTCGAGATAGTTTGGGAGAAAATCTGTATATATATAAAAAAAAAAAAAAAAAATGTGGGTACTTTTGAGGGTAGCTTCCAGTACGGAACTGTTGTAAACTTTTTCTGCGCCGAAAATATCGAAAAATAGACCGCGTCGTTTCCCCGACAAGATCCGAAAGGCGACGGTAAAGGTCCACAGTGGTTTTTCGGTCGGAGCCGGTTTTTCCGGTCAGAAAATCCGCTTGAAGCTATTGTGGGGGGGGGGAAGAAACAACAAATACCGATACGTAATTCTCATTCGCTCAGCCCGAGAATCCGGAAACCGCGCTCGTTTTACGCGCTCGCCACCGATAACGACGCGGCCGCGGGTTACGTTAAATTCGCGCGCGCGTCTTCAACAGGTCGGCCGAGAAAAATTCAAACGCGCGGTGGGCGCCGAGACGCTATAATTTCGAGGGTGGGTATTTTTTTCGGGGGGAGGGGAAGCCGGACGCGTCGTAGCCCGCGTTCCGCTCACTCGGGGGTGGGGTGGGGCGGACGCCAATAACGGAGGGGCGGGGGCGGGGGAATTTCCCCGGGAACCCGTCGAAACGCGCGGAAACTTTTCGGACGCGAGCCGTACGCGCGCGGTGTCAGCGCCGCACTTTGATTATTACTGTTATCGTTACGTCGCCGATGAACCAACCCTCCCATCCCCCTCCTCCCTTTGCCGATGATCCCCCCCACACGGGGCGCATAAGGGCGGAACGCGGCGGCGGCCGCGGCGACGACGGCCACGACACAAAAATAACGATTGCCGCGGCCTTCGGCGCGCCCGTCGACCGCATTCGCCAGGTATCCCGGGGCAACCGCCGCCGCCGCCGCCGCCGCCGCCTCCGCCGTCCTCGGCGTTTCACATAATGATAATAATAATAATAATAATACACTCGCGGCGTGTGTGCCCGTCGCGTCGCGCCGCCCTGTATATTATCGTTATACGCACGTGTCGGCTGCGGCGCGTATCCGCTCGGCGTCCGCGCGACGATTGCGGCGCGTCGCGCGTTTTCGCCGCGTTCGCACACCGGCCGCCCGGCGTACGCGGCGCGTCGCGCACACCGCGCGATCGGTTTCATCGCCGTCGCCGTTACGCTGCCGCCGCGAGTGCCCGACCGCGTGGACAACGTGCGTGCGTACGGCGCGCGCACACGCGCAACGGTCAAACTCCGGCCGGTGGTCCCCGGGGGTCGCGCCGGATTTCGCGCGTCGCCCCGCCGCCGCTCCCCCTACTCCCGCGGCAACGTCGCGTAACGCCCGCGAGAATACGCACCGCCATAGGCTTTCGGCGACATTTGACGACGGGATTTCGCCGGTGACTTCTTCCGACGCCCCGCCGGTCCGCGTTAAACGTTCAATTTTCGTTCGGCCGCCGTCGTCGTCGGGACGGTGCGGGACGGAAGACGGGCGTTTGATGCGCGACGATCGGCCTTCGCCAACGAAAAACGTTTCCGGGCGGAGTCCGGCCGTACGCCGTGTTTTGACGGGTCGAACGCATCCCTACGTTTGGTTTGATTTTTCTTTCCCCGGTTTTCCCCATTTATCGGAAAAAGTGCTACACTCGAAATCCGGGGCGGTAACCACTGGTGGAAACGTTGTTCGCCGACGGTGAAAACAAATAAATAACCCATACCTAACAAAACCGGTACATTCCACATCGCTTCGGTCAGAATCCAAAGACGGACGGTCGACCCTCGGCTGAAAAATTCGTTCCGTTTCCCGTCGCCGCTCCCCCGGCCGGCTGACTTTTTTGTTATTCTCGAGCTCGTACTACACGGACACGAGCACCCGGTTGTTCGTAGCGATCGTCGGACGAATGGACGTACGGACAAGAGGGGGAGGTCAAGAAATAAAAATACATTATAAAAAATACCGTTCTCTATTTATTATTATCCGTCGAAAAATGTTTACAAAACAAAAAAATGAAAACACTCTGCAATTAAAAAACTCATATACATAATATTCATTGAGTGAAATACTTTAAGCGATTCCGCGTACAAATGTTGTTTTAGTTTTGTTTTCATAACTTTGAACGATTCTTAAAATTCGTTTATCCGCGTCAAAAAGTCGCTTTAATGTTGTTGGTCGATCGTTACGTGCTTCGAGTTCCCCCGTTTTATAATTTATAAATAAACTGAAAGTAAAATACAAATTTTTACGTGGAAATCGGTGTATACAATTTTAATTTTCCGGACAAAATATTTCACTTAGTCAATATTATGTGCATTTTTCTCAAACTTTTTCTCTTAAACGTTCGATTTTCCCAACGTCCAAACGGCCACGTTCGTTAGTCTCTCTGTTCGTGTTTAGGTAAAGCCAGCGTTCTTGGCGCTCGTCTTTGCACTAGGCGGACGGGACCGAATTTCCGCGAACCGAGTGAGGGGCTCCGGAGAATAGTTTTACTAGACGCAGGATGGATACGTTGTTATTGTACGTATGACGCTTTATGCGGTAGATATCGCAGACGCCAATAGCGGAGGTTTAGGAAGGCTTAGCAATCCTTGAGCCGTCCGAAGCCCGACCTACGGTGTTTTAATTAATTTAGTCTTTAACGTCATGTCTGAAACTTATCGGGATCACAGCCTACGTACGTTCGGGCTCTATTTACGTCTGCGGTACATATGTATTTTGCCGTTTAAAAGGCGGTTTTTAATCCGCAGGCGATTACGTCCGGTTGTCCGGGAGATCGCGCGTGCGAGTAGATTGCGGAATACGGAAAAAAAAAACCGAAAACGTTTCACGATTTGTTCGGATAAAAATATACGTGTGGCGTCTGTACGCCGACACATTTTTGTTGAAAAGTTACGGCGATTTAAAGTTTGCGGCGGCGTTTTCCGCTCGGTGTGATAAAGTTCTACTGACCCGCGGGCCATCCGAACCCTATATAGGTGTACGCCAGTGACGTATTACCGGTGCAAAAGTTACTTGGGTACCCAAAGTGCAAACCCAAATCTCGCTGCACGAAGCCGAGTTTTCAGTGGTTAGGGTGTAAGATAAACCACAATCGATCATTATTATCACTACCGATATTTGTATATTTACCGGGGGGGGGNGGGGGGGGGGGGGGGTGGTTCACTGTACTTGGATATTTTGATATTACCCGGGCGTGGCAGGCCGAAGTGGCACCTGACATCGTATAATGTATAAACCAGAAGGTCCGATGCCGACGCGTTAAACTTACCGCGGCCGGGTAGAATTCCCCGTTTTACGCGTTGTTGTAAACAGTGCGATTAAACACTGTTTCGCCGTTGCTGGTTGCCGGTAAACGGGGCAGAATTTTGTCACACGATTTTTTCTTTACGTTGTCCGACTTTTAGGTTAGGTTATCAGATAAAAACTAATAGCGCACTCATATAAATTACAAATTACATATATTTGCACGGAAATCATCATCAATGATCGCTGCGGGTCACCGGCCGATAAACGAAATTTTAGACGTGTCACTACTGGCCCGCCCTTCACCGGGCTTCGCTAATTTTATTTTTTTTTTTTTATTTTTTTTCCAATATCTTGATAAACCTTTTCACGGTTAATCAATATCTCGTCAGTTCTTTATTATCCTTCCTTGTTGTGCGGTGGCGGGGATAGTTTGCGTCTGTGTTTTCACTTACGAGTTTAGAGATCGGCGATACCCGCACGTGTGCCGAATCCGTCTGACAACGTTAGACAGGAATAATTGTGTGCGGTTGGTTTTAATATCAAATTGGATTGAACTATTATCGAAACTAAATATACGAACGTTATCCGTGCGATTTCTTCGGTGTTTTCGATGATTTAATTCTCCAACGAGATATTGTATATAAGTAAGCATTTTGAAAGTGTAATATTTCACATTCACACGTGTCGATTAACAATTAACGTATCAACAAATAACAATCCCCCTAACGCGGACACTGTTCTAATCGGTATGTGTGATAACAAATCGATTCGGTTCTAATGTCAAAACCGACAAAATTGTCCCTGATCGTCGTCCAACGTCTTCGCGTTTAAATTTAAAATTGTTTAACACTATTAACTGTTTGCCATTCTGGTTAAACATTCTTGTAAATTGCGCGCTGTTAAATTAAATATCAAGCGATATGCACTTAATTTAAACTACTACTCCGAGCGCTGAGCGGTATTATCGCAAGTAAAGGGACCGATTATCGATATCTATTAAGTAAAAATACATTTATATTTACCTTATACGATTTATTTCCAATTTATACGCGACATCGCACAAACGACCGTACAGGTTATCCTTCATCATATCGGTATAATAAGTACGTATTTGTACGAAACGGTCGGCCGCAGTTTGTACGATGCACCGTATCGGGTTTGTCGTCAATTAAGTAACATTAAATTCTTTTTTACCGCAGTTCGCGTACCGAAATTTAGAAGAGGGGAAATTTTCCCGCGGTTTATCGTCTCCCGAGGTATTCCCGGTTCGATCCCGTACCGGCCGCGGGTGTGCACGTGCAGACGCGGCCGCAGACGAGCCCGAAATTTCGGAGACCCTGGGGCCAAACGTTTTCGAGGGGCTCTCGTCAAAAGACAAATTATATGAAATTTCTAAAAAAAAAAAAAACGTTCACTAATCGATGTGTTTCAAAAAAGGAAAAACTAATGAACGGTATACGGACATCACGATACGGACCTCAATTCGAAAAACACGACTGTTTTTTTAAACGGTTCAGATATACCGTTTTCAACCGTGACAACGGTAATTTCTACTAGAAAGAAAAACGATCGGCACGGCGGCGTTTTCGATTTTTCAAAGGGCCGCACTGCGGTGTCACGTCCGCCCGGGACTCGACGTCGCAACGGGACGGCCGCAGAGGAACAAAAACCGCGTTTCGATCTCGCCGGACCGCCGTCTTCGGGAAGTTCGGCGGCGGCGTAACGACAAACGGCCGCAGATAAACGCGCCGCGGCGATCGCGTCGGCCGGAGATTCGCGATAACGACGTGCTCCCCCTCCCCTTAACCCCGGCCCCTCCCCCATACCCGAATCAAGCGATTTTTCGGGGCCGGGCGTAATGACGGCGATTATTTTCGTTGTCGTCCCCGGATAACGAACGGCGTTATAACGACCGGATATCATGTGTGTACGGCCGCGAGTTCTGGTGGCGGTCGGACACACGTATTTCGGCGACGTCCGTTATCGGATCGTTTCGCCAATACGATACAATAACAATAACGATAACCGTACCGGTGCCGGGACGGACGCGGAAAAAGTCGATTTTCGCCCGGTCACCGTTAACCGCGCTGGCGATCGCGGCGATCGCGCCGTCGAAATAATTATTGCGTTTTCGGCGCTCGGTAATCGCCCCCCCCCGCCTTCGCCCCCGCTCCACCATCTTCACCCGCCGGTGTTTATTTCTTTCTCGCAAACGACGGGACGACGAATCGATAAAATGGTTTTCGCTCCGACAGCGTAAACATAATCAAAAATCAGTCAACTACGCCGTTTTTTTTTTTTTTTTGGCCGTCTTTTCAAAACGATTCCGATTCAAGACCGCAATTGTTATAGTTAAATTGTTGGACGATGCCCAGAGATTTTATTATTTCGTTTTAGAATCGCATATTTCGGTCCGACACGTCCGGTTCCAAAGCGGATCGGAAACATGCCACAGTATGTTGTTGAATGTAAAACTTCGTTTGAAAATATGCAGTAAAAGAGAGCTGACCTTCTATCTCCCACTCAGTGTGCGCCACTGGTTGACTAAAACCTTTTTCACTCGCCGCGTTATAGCCGTACACCACAAGACCGTAGGCAAAACGTTAGTTCGTGATACAAACATTTTCTCACGAGAATTTACCTATTGCAATATCTCCAGAGATAATAAAGGCGATCAAATTCTGTTTTTTTTTTTTTTTTTTTTTTTATATTACTGGCAGAGAGATAAGTGATGCAATAGCATTTTATTATTATTGTTAGAGCTATTAATTCACTGCACACCTTTCTTCTTATTGAAAGATCGACTGAAATTACCGGCTATTTCCAGATTTTGATCGAAATCACTTATTCACGGTTAAATATACGGGAGAAAACTTTTTACGAACCTATACAAAACTATAGTATTTTTTTCATTTTTTTTTTTTTTTTTTTTTTTTTTTTTTTTTAAGACTGTTATAGCACTTTACGTTCTTATAGTTACGCATTGTGTTTTTAGAAAGATTTCTAGTAAAATTCGTAAACAAATATAATATTTAACTTAATTTGAAATGAATAATTTTTTCTACAAAAGTAAATAATACTAAAATTAAAGGTCAATATTGGGAATGTATCCAATATGTATTGATTAAAAAATAACACAGGACCGACTAAAATAACAATACTGTGCGCATTTCAAAGTCCGAGCATTTCGTAATACTAACTATTACAATACACAATTTTTCTGAAATCTATTTTATCTTTCTATTTATTTTAAAAATGTTTTTTGCCGTCTGCACCGAACGTTTAGTAAATGTGGACGTAGCCGGTTGTCGCAGTCGACCCTTCAATTACCTACAACAGTTTAATAATAATATTGTATATTTCTATATGCGTTTTTCTTTTCTCTACAATTTTTGTTTTCGCTCGGAGACCGATATTTCAGTGGCCGAAACTTCCGAAACTGAGTATGCGTCATAATACAATATAACCGAAACGCGTGATCGTTTTAACCCCTCCCCTTTCCCTCGTATACATTCAGTTTTCGAGTACTTTTTTTCTTCTTTACTGATTATCGTCTCGATTTATCTCTGTCAACGCAGTCCTGGGCGTAAAGTAAAATATTAAAATATTGTTATTTTATTCATACACGTTATACACTGTATTCCTGTACGGTGAAATGACATATACTTTTTCGTCTGTCACCAGTTTTCATAAGATCTCACTCATAGCCGTTGAGATGCGTTCGGTGTTTCGGTGACACACCCTTTAAGCACGCACCTAATGTCTGCGTTAATTGGCCGTGAAAAGGGCCGTTTGAAGGCTGCCCGTTAAACATGTAGCTAACGATCGAGTTATTCACTGTGTGAGTTTTGTGACTGCGCCGGCAATTAAACTGTATTTTAGGTTTCGAGTGGAGCGAGAAATGTTTTGGTTTTACAATGGTGTGTATTTCATATTTCTTTCTGCGGACAATTTATCTACCGGCAATTGCGCTCCGATTTTAAATTAAAGCACTTTTTTTTCCGAGGGAAAATCTGACTAGAGTGGTGCTTTATATATGTCATTTTTTTTTTTTTTTTGTTTTTCTGAAGAGTTTCTCTAATAGACGGGAAAAACGGGAAAATAAAAATACAATATTAAACGAAAATGTTTAAAAACAAATTTGTAATGTATATTGTGACGTAATTATTATTTTCCGTAATATGGCATATACCATATTGTTGACAAAGCAACACCATTAACCGAACTCCGTTCAGAATCGTTTTTATATACATTCAATTTCACTCCAATCTTCCCGGATTTCCACCCTACAACAGCGGTCCATCGTGCGAAATATGTCCGCATATTTTTTTTTTTAGTAATTTTAATTCGATTACGTAAGTTCGTCGGATCTTTAAGCCCAGAGCGTATACAATACGTGTGTCGAGTTTTTTAATAGAACATGCGAAATAAACGAGAAGTCAGAATTGTATTATATCGTATTGTACACGGTGTCCGAAGATCCGTTATTTTATCGATAGTATTGCCGCCGTGCATAGACTAACGGTGTCCGTTTCTAAAGGGGAAGATGAAAAAAAATAAACCGCCGCTTTATTAAAAAAAAAAATAATAATAATAATAAATGCATATATTATTGTACACGCCGTACCGTCGCGCGAGTACTTGTCGAACGCCCCGCGACGTGACACTACACAAACGGCGGCGCTTCTCGGGCCCGCGAAACGGCAAACTAAAAAGTGAACGTCAGCGGGTCGACGGAAATCAAACACTTCAACGACCGAGAAATACATTTAAAACCGACACACTGCATATTTACGGAATTTTAAATACGGACGACTGTTCGAAAAACCGTCATGCGGTCCCGCCCACGAAAACAAGGGGGACGAGAAATACGTAACGGCGGCGTATTCCCGTTTTGCAACTACTATAATACGAGGGCTAATCAAGAAGTATCGACACTGATAGTGTCACTCGGACACCGAACATCGAAGGGCAGTAGGATTGGTATCACTTGCTTCTATGACTTTTTCTGAGTACAATTGTTTGTATTGATTCTCAATAAACTTCTTCGGTTTGATTTCACCGGTATTTTTGTAGAATATATTATTCGAGTATGACGATTTTGTAATGAATCCAAAAGAAGAGCGACTTGACAGTTTTGGGGATTTTGTGTGCGTTTTTTTTTCGGTTTCAGAGAGATTAAACATTTCGTGGTTTATGCCAATAAATTTTAATTGAAATTGAACGCGCCGTCGAGTGGCTGCAAGTGTTTGCTTCCTTGGGGATCATTACGAAATCGCCAAACGTGAAAAATTTATTTTACAAAAATATCGTCGAGTCAAAACGAAGAAGTTTACAGAAATTCTACAAGAATAGATGTGCCAAGTAAAAGTCGCAGGAGCCAGGATTACAAATCGTTCTGGTTTTCGACACTCGGTTTCCCAGTAATATTACGCGGGGTTAGGTTAGGTTAAACACTCTCAAACTATTGCACTCTGATGTGGTTCCGACAATTTCCGATACACGTAGTTTAGACATAATTTAGTCGAAGTAGTAGTAAAAAAAAACAAAAAAAAACAAAAAAATAATAGACGCCCGATAAAAACATTACGGGGAAACAACAATAACATCATTTGTCGATGTTAAACGGCAAATTCTAATTGAATGTTCGTCTAATCGAACACTGCGATAACAACCGTTTCGGAGCGGTCGTGCCTATAGGATACTACGCGACAATCTTCTGCTCGCCGAAGAAACGTTCGCGGACGGTTTCGGAGCTGGGCGGTACGGAGAAAAAATACCGCGGTTGGCTCGCCGCCCGAATGCCCCCGGGAAAAAAATAAAAAAATAAATAAGAAACCCGGCAAAAAAACGACAACGAAAAAAATCTATACGCGCGAATGCCGTCCCCGGAGCGCGCTCGAGTCGACCGTCAAAAACGGTATTATTATTAAAAAAAAAAAAAAAAATAATAATAATAAAAAAAAACCGCTCGGACGCGCGGCGTGGCGTTTATCCCGGCGGAACGCCGTGCCGCGCGTCTCGTTAAAACGGGAAAGGCGTCGGGCGGACGGTGACACCGCCGAACGAACGTCACGCCGGCGCGTGTTAACAACTGCGACCGCGTTATGTTTTTACGCGCGCGGGCGTGAGCGCGACGTGCCAATAAAACGGAAATTAAACGCGCCGGAGGTAAACACGAGTCGCGCCGGGGCCGGCCGCTTTCTATTACTCGTCAGCACCACCACCACCACCCCCCCCCCCCAATCTACCCCCGTCGGCGTGTCGTTCTTGCGGTTATTCTTCGCCGCGTCCGACGAACAGACCCGGCGTACGCGTAAAAAACAGAATGAGAAAACCGCGGGCGCGCGGTACCGCCGCGGCCGCGTGGCGCTGGGGACTTTTCGACGGCGTCGGCCCGCGGTCGTCGTCGGAGTTTTCGGCGCGGCGGAAAGGAAGGGAGAGAAAGTAAAAAAAACACCGCCCGACTGTTTGCGGACAAATTTAAATAGGCGAAATCGTAAACGCCGTCGTGCGCGCCCGCGGATTCACGTTACGACTCCCGGTAACGACGGCGCAGAGAACGATTAACGATAAAAACGCGTCGCACGAATCGAGCGGCGCGCGTGTGCCGCCGTTTTAGGCGGGCGGTGTCCCGGAGCGATTCGATGGACCGGCGCGGAAAACGATTCACGGCGGAGTTCCGTTAAACCTCCTAACGTCGTGTTCGTATGCGTTTTGTTTTGTTTTTTTTTTTTTTTTTTGTGCCAAACCACTGTTTTACCGAAAATTCGTACGCGGCGCCAAATAATAACGTGTTGTCATAACGCACAAACCGATGAGAGTGTCGAATGCATCGGAAATCGATCCGTTACCGCGGCCTTGTTAGTGAGACGCGACAATGTCGGGCGCAATGTCGGGTGATGGTATTGACGACCGTTTCTTACTGAAAAACGATAAAAAAAAAAAAAAAAAAA